TAGAGCGTGGACCATTATCCCAAGGCCAAGCAATCACACCAACAATAGAGGAAGAGCCACAGCATCGACATCCTCTAAAGCTGAATTCAAAGTATGTACTTTACACTTCAACCGTATGCTATAACCGTAGGTCGTATGACTTAATTTTTAGTATATGTAGTATAAGTATAGCAAATTAATTTATGTGACTCAAGATTTTCCCTAAATTTTTACCGTTTCAGGAATTTGAAATGGATAGTACAAATGAAGTATTAATTATCTCAATTATTACTTTAAGCTGTAGCTTATTTTCATTAAATCAACGATTGTATCGTTCTAAAAGAAGATATAAAACTCGTCGAATTAATAGAAGGAGAAATATATGTTAGATGCTAATTATTAAAGAGGGACGTCATCCACTACGTCGCTATTACTGAGTCAACAAGAACCCCTTTCGGAATGCGTGAGCAGTCGAGGTCAGCCGATGGAGCGCGGTCCGAGGGGTCCGCGAGCACAGCAGTCAGTCACGGGAGTCAGGGTCCCGACATAGCAAATAAACAAGAGATAACTCTGTCGTTTGATGGAATAAACCGATTGTTGAAATTATGTGTTTTAATCGGAGGTGAAAACCCCCGTGTTTCTAACATCAGAAGTGGGATACACCCCGTGTATCTTAGCAACCCCTGTGACAAAATAAATAAGAAGAATTATAATTTAGTACAATATGGTGGAACGAAGTGAACCTATGCAGAACAATGGTTGAAAAAGTGATGGTGATTATGAGACAGTGTCTGAATCAGATCTAAAAATGTGCAACAAAAACAATAAGAAACATTAGTATCATTGTACTATACTACAGGAGCAATTGGTAATATTATTTTGTCGATCCAATATGGCGACCAAGCCAACGCCTAGTCCATCTTCCGTGTCAGATGTAGCGAGTGCGCAAGCTTCAACTTTTGTTATAACATCATTCTGATTGAACGAATTCAATCCAGACGACACTAATTATTCCATAGTAGAGTGGATCGACGTTGCCATAAGTTCAAAAAGTAACTTAATGTGGGTGATGTATCGTATCAATGATAACAAAAGCTGCACAAACTTTAAAATGAAGCTATTGCTACTGTGGCTGGAATCCAATGCCAAATCAAGAATAAGTTTTCTAAGAACCTTTTTGTAGTGATTCCTAGTGCATAATTTTACGTAGCAGCTAGTTACAAAGTAGCGATTGTAAATTCCTTAACGACTTTGATATTAGGAAACTCTGTGCTGTTCACTGATTCCATAATGAGTTGTTGTTGAAATCATATTCAAGTGTCTATTGGTAAACAACAGCCTACTCCCAATAAAGAAGTTTTAAAAGTGTTAAGTGTGTTAACAGACGCTATCAAAGACATTGTTCAACATAGTAATGTCCAAGTGACCAGAAAACAATAGAAAACTGTGATTCTAGATGAAATAATTCTGCTTTGGATGACTTGCGATAAGTTTGGCAAAACAACATCAGCACGAGTGTTGCATTACAACAGAAAAATGATACAACCGACAAAAGAGTAATGAACTACTTTTACGCACATACTGCAAGAATTGAGAATGCCTGTAACAAAGAATTGTTGGTACAAGTGTGGAAACTAAGAAAAGATTACACTCATTATGAAGAAGCGACTTGGCAACGTTTTCAGTTCCTACTTTAGTTTATAAGAACAAAGCAATGATTTTACGTACCTACATGATAGTGCTGATCTATCAATTCTAAAACTGACAATGAAAAATGTTTATTTATCTGCACGTGCAAGGTTATGACTATTTCGGCGACCGCAACTTTGGAAATTTTGTTTATAAGTTGAATACCGATTATGTAAATCTAGAACATTTAGAAATTGAATGTTATTAGTTATTGGTTGAGATGTTATTAGACAAGGTTATCTACGCGTCACGAAAAGCGCTTAGGATTCAGAATAATACCATGATCTAGGTCACATCCCAAAAGTGTTTACAGATACTACAAATAAGCATAACAGAGTCAGGACTGGACGAGCCTACAATTAAAAGCATAAAACACTTATTGCAGAGAGAAACATCTTTTCTGTATCACAACAGGAAAATTGCAGATTTTCCTGAAGAATGACAAATCCAAAGACCTCAGAATGACTAGACAAGTAATTCCCTATGCATTGCAAAGGAATTGTTTTGATTTTCCACAACTTGAGACATCCTGCTATTAAACAAGGATGAAGATAGTTCTTTGTTTACTAGGGAACTCTTAACCAGTGGCGTGTGTGTTAAAAAGGGTGATACATTTTAATATTTGTCTAATTTATATATACTTACCGATTTCACACCTAATTTGGTTTTAAAATAATGTTAATGACTTCTTTTTTAAATAAATAGAACCATGTTTGTTTTACTCCATAACGGCACTTACTGCCGAAAAAAAGTAATACTAGTTACAACAATCTTTATTTTCTCAGTAACAATATACATCAATATGTTAAATAATACTAATTAATAAAAGTTTTTACCAGTTCAAATAGGAATCACAAAGTTACAGTTACAGTTGCATATAGTATGGTAGCTATACTATACTTGTATACAATAATATGCATATCAAGTAGGACAATTAAGTGATAAATGAAAGAGAAATAGTAAATGGGGTTATTACACATATTTTTAAGTTCTTTAATTCTTAAAACAGATTTATTGGATCTAATTTGTTATGGTGACAATTGCTACAAAGTGATCCCGAATTATGTGCAAAAAATTGTTTATACAATTTTAATAGGGGTCCTGTATTTTGACTAAACGAACTTGGGAACTCAGGAACTGCTGTGTCCTTAAGATAAACTCGGCCACCAGGTCTTATTAAGAAATCACTTGATGTGAAGTGATCTGAACATACAACACTATCTTTAGGACTATTTTCCTTTCCTATACAGCTCAAAATGCGAGAGAGCCAAACGTCTCGGCGTTCAACATTCGAAGGAATCCTAAAATCAAATTACCTAGGTATATTTCCTTTTAAATAATGTTGCCTTTGCAATTCATGTTACTTTTTATTTAACCGTAACACACAATTCACGTTTTAAAAAAATATTTTATATTTTCAATATTATTGCACTGAAAATTTTCTATTTCAAATTTTGTTTTAAACTACCGTCTGTTATCTGTTACGCCCATGGTAAATCTACCTACCTGTGAAAAGAGCGATTGCCTCCACTTTTAAAGCGAAATCTACATATAACACAATATTTTCCCATTGTCTATTCACAAAAACAATAAATTCTGCCAAAGAAACTAATAATCCACGGTAAACACAACGTTAAACTCAGTAAGCATGCAAAGAATTAATGGCGGCCGACAGTCGTAAACAATAATAAACATCTAGCATAGAGCAGGTACTGCGCGCGCACCTTACCACATGTCTTTAGCCAATAGGAGGCTGAGTTCTCAAAATATTTACAGTAGAACAAAACAAACCAAGACAATGCACTGTCTATCCTTTCTGAGGTCGTTGGACAAATCGGTATCATACAGACCTTAACGCCAATCCTATGTTAAACGAACGCCAGGTGCAATGAACAGTCGACGAAGTTTTCCGGTATGCGATTCATGCGATACAAAAATTAGCACTTAGCCAAACCCAAAATGTCTGCTAGTCAAATACAAAGACAGTAAAAGGATTAAAAAAAAGTGTTAAAACAAAAACAAAATACTAAAAAAAGGTTCAGTTGAAAGTCTTGGTGCAAAGTGCCATTAAGATGTTGTAGCGTCATTACGAACGAAAGGAGCGAGCGTGTTCGAGTTCATACTTCGAGATTGACTTAGAAAGAGCCACGATGGAAAGAGGTCAACTAGTGAACGACTCCAATCAGTGCCCAGTTTATGATGAGTCTGGTCAGTTGTTGGAGGAATACGTGGTAATCCAATTCCTTGAGCGCGAGCTGCATCAGTGGGAACTATCAAGAGAAGGACCGATAAAGAGAGAGAAATGAATTTGTGTGAAATTGCGACTTATGGTTGAATTGGTGTGAAATTAGGATGTAAAAGGGATCTTGAGAAGTACAATAGGTAGATACAAAAATAAAGAGAGCCCGATGGGAGCACTCTAAGTAGCAATGAAGGAATCGTTACTGTGAGTATGACATCATAAAAAAAGGAACAGTAATGTGACATTATTTTTTTTGAACCTGTAGAGAATGTCAATAAAAACGAGTTACCTTTTACCCTACCCTTACCCCAATCCACAAAAAGTAAAGACGGTTATGAGGCGCTCCCACATAAGAGAAAAGTTGTGGCAATCCCACATCAGAAAAGAACAAAAAAAAATAAAAGGAAGTTAAGTGCATGGTAAGGCATGTACCTCTGAACTTCCTAAAAAAAAAGGAAAAAGTTAAGTGCATGGTAAGGCATGTACCTCTGAACTTTAAAAAAAAGAAAAGACGGTTATGTGGCGCTCCCACATAAGCGAAAGGTTGTGGCGATCCCACATCAAATGCTGAAAAAGAATTACCTCTTACCATCCTTTACTCCAATCCACGAAAAGAAAAGACGGTTATGTGGCGCTCCCACATAAGCGAAAGGTTGTGGCGATCTCACATCAAATGTTGAGAAAGAATTACCTCTCATCATACCCAGTATCCCTTATACCAATCCAAATTAAAAAAAAAAAGAGAAGCGGGTATGTGGCAATCTCACATGACTCGAAAGGTTGTGACAATCCCACATCAAAAAAAAAAAAGAGAGAGAAAGAAAGAAAACCAGTATGTCACCTTTCAGCTCTGCTATAATAGTATATTATGCAACGATCATGTAATGATGGTTATTAATACACGAGCATTAACCGGGACGAGCCGAAGGCGAGTTTCGTATGGTTTATGTGAGTGTATTAATAACCATTACATGAGAGTTGCATACGCTATTTTTTCTACACCCGATAAATATTCAAAAACCATAAATTTTATATTTTTATTGAACACAATAGGTAACAGTAATTATTCGTATTTCTATAAAAAAAATCTACAAAATTGTAATTAATACCTCGGGTATTGGTATTGCCATAGATACAAGAAAACTATAAACATTTTATTTGTATTTATATTCAACATATAATAATTGTAATTAATCCGATTTCTTAAAAATATTAAGATTATTTATTGTGCAGTTTGAAAAGTTTATTCCAGGTCCCACTGATCTGGAAGTGGAAGGAATATTTACATTTATTTCATTATTGCTAGTCTCAATAGAGTTCAATATTGTATTGGAAATGCTGATTTTATTCTGAACCGAATTTTCAATGTAGCCTTCTGCCACTGAATTGGATTTCCAGCCACCATGGCGTTTTAATGTAGTAATATCACCACCGGCATCTACTAATACGGTTGCAGATGTCCTACGAAAACAATGCCCTGTATATAAATTCGGATCAGGCAGATTTAAATATGTTGCTATTTTCTTCCCTATATCACCAAATTTATTAATACCAATGTTTTGAATTGTGCATTTTCCATTTAAATAATTAACGAAAAAAGATGGGGTGGGGCAAATTTTAGGCCGTAGATTCATATATTTTTTACTAATTTCGTAGTATTTGCCGGTAATTGTAAATGTTCGTTGTACTTTTGTTTTAGTTTCTATCACATTAACAATTAAGATTCCATTCATATCTTTGACATTTTCACATTTTAGGTCATGTAGTTCATGCCTTCGACATGCTCCCATTATTCCAAAAATCATTGCTACCTAAAAAAAACAACAATAATAAATAAAGAGAAGAAAAAAAAAGAAAAAAAAAAAAAAAAAGCAGGATGACCTAGGCTGGTTTCGAACCCGGATCTCATACTGTAGTCTAGTCCAAATTGAGCGCCTTAACCCGCTCGGCCACGAGTTCGGTTTATGAGTTTGCTCGAAATTAATGAAATATACCTATCATGCATGAGTCGAATGGAAAATGTAATCATGAAATTTTTTTAAAAATGCAATGTTAGATAGATACTTACTTTTAAAAATAAAAACCGTTCATCGGGTGCTTCGTCGATAAACGTTTTTATTTGTTCAGGTGAAAATATTTTTGCTTTTTTTCCAACATATCCTTCGGACTTTCGCTTTAATAAAGCTTGTAGTTTCTTATATTTAGAAATGTTTATATTATGGTTTATATTTACCAACGTTTTTATTATTGAATAATGTGTCCATGTACTAGATGATTTCATAGTTTCCATCAATTCTTGAAAATAAGCAATTAAAACATTTTCGGAGAATGTCGAAATATTATTTGTATTTCTCCAGTCCATAAACCGTTGATAAAGTTTTTCGTACACTTTCTTAGATTTTTGGGGTAAAATATTTTGAACTGCATTTTCTGCTTTCTCCGATATGTGTGGAGGAGTCGATGGTAATTCTTCTATATCGCTGATATCAGACATTTTGATAAATTATCGAAGTTTAGCTAGGTATCTACGAAAATTTAATACGTACTGATTTTGACATCTAAAATAATTAGATAGGAACCTAGGATAAACGTCAAATGCACAGCATGCTTGATTGAAAAATTATGGGTTTCTATTGATTAAAAATCTGTATCGTAATGAAAAATCTGTATCGTAATGGGTATCATTATGAAACGGATTATGGGCATATAAGTGCATTGTTATAATACGGGTGTAGAAAAAGAAAATAATAGGCGATAAAATTGTTCATCTCTAGACTACACCATTGTTTAAATATCCTATATAGTTATTCACAGAGCTCATTTAAAGGTGGCGCCATCTAGACGAACTAAAATAGATGAATGAATTAGGTATGACCATTATTTTAAATATTTTTTAATGTTAGGTTAGATTGCTGTTTTATAGAATCCATGATTGTGGATTTGCAATAAAAAAGCTGTCATCAGAGGATACCTGTATTCATCTACTACATAATGTAATAAAGGTAATTGAACAATTAATTAGAGGTTTAATATAACTCATAATTATATGGTATTCTCTTTCGCTTCATAAAATCATTTGTACTACCTATATTACTATATCTTTATAAGGAAATTGTTATATATAATTATTTTTCAGTTACATCATGTCTACCTCAAGATGTTCATATTTTGACTGTGGAAGGTCACTAAAAGAGTGCCCTGGTCTACGAAGATTTTCATTCCCAGTAAAAGACCATACCAGATGCCGTCTGTGGGTTGTAAACTCAGGTAAATAGGTATTTCAAACAAATTGTAACATAATTTTTATCTTACTCAACCTAATTCAAAATGATTGAAATTTTAAAGTCCATTCATATTTATTTGCTGATTGACTCTTGCTAGAATCGTCAAGTTTCAGAAAAAATATTTTACTTCAAAATTTAGAACTTGCTGGGCATTTTGGATAGCCATAAGCAACAAGATCAAACAAATATTATTTATTGATATACATTCAAAATTTATTTGTACTTACGCTAAGTTAGTTATTTTAAAATTTATGTTTGTTCAAATATTATGAAAGATTTTTCAATGTAATTTTTTAATTTTTCAAATTTCGTATTGCATGTATGAGATTGATATAAAACATTTAATAAAGAAAAAAATACCATAAGTAAATAATATTGTAAAGTCTGTGTCAGGTTAAGGTATTATTCTTAAATAATGGTCCCTTTTTATTATTATGCAGGTAATGCTGAATTAGTAGCACTAGAACCGGAGCAGTTAGGACGACGTTTTTCATGTGAAAGACACTTTAAGAGATTTCATGACGCGGAAACTTACATCATATGCAGTTCCAATTATTTACACAATGCAAGATCGAGAACAAGAAAGAGTTTATACAGGTCCTTCCACTTCAGGTGCTTTTCCAGTTGTTGGATCCTCTATACCATCTTCATCTTCTGAAGAAAGCATCCAATTTTTAAAAGATATTACAAATCTGCCCACTCCACCAAGAAAGAAAAATATTCAAGAAACACAGACAGCTATTTAACACACAACAAAAATTAACAAAAGCAAGAATTGTTCTTAAAAAAAAGAATAACTTATGACCACCCAAAATCATTACAACAGTTACCTTCTTTTGTTAGAAGTATTGTAAAAATGAAATTATGTCACACAAAAAAACAGTGTGGCTTTCTGACGAAAAACATGCAGCTGATTTTATATTATAAATCTCCTACTACATATAAGTTCTTAAGGCAAAAGGGTTTCAAATTACCAGCTATTTCTACATTATCAAAATGGTTAAATGAATTTTCATTTATCCCAGGTAATAATAAAAATACTTATAAACTTATCAAATTAAAATGAACAACTATGGATGCAAAGGATAAGGAGTGCATTTTAGTATTCGATGAAATGCACTTAAAGCAGTGTTTAGAATATTCCAGAAAAAAAGATTTGGTGGAGGGATTTGAAGAATTAGGTGTTTTAGGACGGAAGGCAAGTATGGCGAAGCAAGCATTAGTGTTTCTTGTCAGAGGTATATATACAGATTGGAAAATACCATTGTCATTTTATTTTTCTTCTAAAGGAATTGCAATCGATAAATTACACACAATTTTAGAAAAAACTTTAATATATTTAAGTGCTGTCAATCTTCAGCCAATTACAATAGTGTGTGATCAAAGTACCACAAATCAAGCTTTATATCGGAAATTAAACGTAACCCCAGAAAAACCATATTTTGAATGTCAGAATCAAGAGTATATCGCTCTTTTTGATGCTCCTCATTTAGTCAAAAGTATAAGAAACAATTTGTTGCAAGGAGATTTTGTATTGAGTGAAGCAGATAATTCACAGTGTAGAATAAGTTTTCAAGATGTTAAAATAACTTATGAAATTGATAGAGCATCAGAAACTGGAAAAGCATTGCCGAAAATTACAGATGTCCACATGAATCCAAATTCATTTCAAAAACAAAATGTTAAACTAGCTGTGCAGATTTTAAGCCACAGTGTTTGTGCAGCAATCGAAACTCAACAAATAAAATCTGAAAAAGGCAGCTAACACTGCAAATTTTATTGAGGTGATCGATAATTTGTTTGATGCGTTAAATAGCAGAACGGTTAAATGTATAAAACTCTGTAATGCTGCGTTATCTGATAATAGTCCTTATCCAATGGCAGCCTTAGATAAAGGATATCAAGTAATGTCTAGTCTCATTAAAATTAGACAAAAAGGGAAATGTTACCAGACCCCCATGTTTTGATGGAATATTAACAATAAATGCAGTAAAATTGATTTTTAATCTTCAGAAAGAAAAAGGTTATCCTTTCTTATTAACAAGGAGACTTAACCAGGACATAATTGAACATCAGTTTTCAATTTATAGACAGAGAGGAGGACACTCAAAAAATTCTTCTGTTCGTATGTTCGAGGCAATTTTTAAATCTAATTTCATTATGAACATTATGAAACCTCTAAAAAATCCAGCTATGAGTTCATGTCCGATACTCCCAACCTTATAACTGATTATAAATCTGACAGATTAAAAAATGTGAAGTTACCAGTTGAAATGGATTTCTCAAATGAAGACAGTAGGTAACAACAATGCTAGTGATGACGATAACAGTAATGAAATTAATATACAGTTATCATTACCAGCAACACTATCCTCTCTGGAAGAATGTTCAATAATTTATTTTGCTGGTTATCTAGCCAAATTATGTTCAAAGAAGTATAACTGCCGACATTGTTTAGAAGATCTCATAAGCTCAGAGGATTTAGTCAACAACACCGACATTTTATTGTTTTATAAAAATTTTAACATCAATAATCCCATATCATTAAAAAAACCTACAACTTTATTGCACACATTTGTACATGGCGCAATGATAATATTTTTTAAGATATTTCCACAGCTTATTAGCAGTAGAAATTTGTCGAAACTACTTTATAAAAAAATGCAGCATAAATTGTGTCTCGAATGTTCAGACTGGTTTGTAGAAACACAGTGTGTTGAACATAGGAAATTTATTTTAGAAAATTTAATTTGGATTCTAATTTACAAAAGATGTAAATCTTTATCACAAAATACCAAATTACAGACCGATAAACAATCTAAAAAACTACTTATTTTTTCAAATAAATAAATATTACATTGTAGTGCAGTTCTCGATTAAAATCAATAAAATGTTATTAAAAACAATTTTTTTATTTATAGTCTTCTCTTTTTCTTTTACACTAAAACTCTCCTTTTTATGCTCTTATGGATTAACAACTTACGAAGAGTACATTTTTCATTTTACAAAAACTAAATATACTTATTAGAAATCTTTTTAAATAATTTTAAATTTAAATTTAAAATTTTTTAAATAAAATTATTGTTTCACAAACATTTTTTGTAAGAAGCCGTTTGGTATTCAGGTATATTCGCAATTAAGTGCATTGTTCGGCAAGCTTCAGTTAATTTTTTTTACATGTACTTATAATACCCTGTATAAGAAATTTTATATAAAATAAATGAAACCATATACCTACCAGCCTTTTATAACTTTTGTCTCTGTCACTAATTTTTAACTACAACAAATTTTGAATAAAGATTTGTGCATTTGGAAAGTTTTCTGAAAAATTCGGTTTCATATATTAGATCATTATTTTTAATAGTAAATTTAACGATTTTAATTATTTTTTTAAATGATTTTAAATTGTATTTTAAAGCGAAATTGGCTGATGTGGCAAATCAACGTATAATTTGCATGATTATAAGTAAATTATTTAAATTTAATAATTAAAGTATTATTAAAAATCACTTGAAAAATTGAAATGTCCGGTCGTGAATAAATAAGTGTACAAAACCGAATCCGAAGTAACAATATTTAAAATGTGTATGTCGTCTATACTCGGTTATTTCCGTTGATATCAAAAAAAGAGCAGCGTACTAATATGCGGCGTTCTTCGAGTGATAGCATTACGTATTCATCATCTTCGTCAAGTGATGGTGAATTGAAGAGCTTTTAAAAAATAGCAAAACGAAGTGGTTGAATCACGACGCAGTAGGCCATCAACGTCCACAACGGGAGATGAACTTCTCATTCCATTGTTTGATCCTCGAAAGAACAATATGGTGATTGAAAAGTGGGTGCAACGTGTGGATAAACTAGCAAAGCGATACAAATGGGATGACGATCTCATTATGCGTATGATAGCAAGCAGACTTTGCGGCAATGCTAGGCAGTGGTACGACGAACAGGCAACGACGAACAGGCAAAATGTGATGTTTCTTGGAGTGAAATATAGGAGAGTATGATTAATCAAGTCCATTCCATTTTCTAATTTACTCGGAGATGCTGCTAATTATGAAACTAGTCCCAGTCAAAATCTAGATTACTGTTTCCAAAAACTTTCTAAATCGAGAGCGTTACGATTAGAAATTCCAGATGAATGTCTCATAGGTGCTGTAGTTGGTGGCATAACGGATGAAATCATTTCACGTACAGTCAGATCTGCACGCCATAGTGATGTTAATATGTTATATGTTTATTTAAACACTATGGATGACATGCCAAATAAGA